GTCACAGCAATGATTGTCGTCCCGACAAAGTACACGGCCGCACGCAGAGTGATATGACTGGAGACATGAACACTCAGGCCAGACACTCCTGAGAAAAAAATGCATTTAAAACATTATAGAATGCAAATCGGGTTAAGTGCAAAGTCGTTACAAGGAATTTACTTTGGTGTATAAAGGTACAGTAATTAGTATTTCTTTTTTTTTTTTTAAATATATACAATTTTTCTAAAAACTATATTTTATATATATTAATTGTACATTCTGTTCTTGTATATATCATATTCTATTTACTAGTATATAGACTGTCAGGGATGAGCAAAGCAGGCAGGACCCAAACACAGATTTCTCAGAAAAAACACCTTCATTAAAAGGCTAAATGAAACAAAACAGAACTCTTCCCCGTGAACAACGTCAAACTACAACAAGGAACTCACAAAGACTAAGAGAAAACACAGAACCTAAATGCACACAGGACTAATCAAACAAACAAGAGACAGGTGAGGAGGGAGGAGAAAACACAGGGGCACCAGGTGAACACAATCGGGTAATCAGGGAGGGAAAACAGACAGAAAGCAACAGGCAAGACAGAAGGTGAACACTTTTCAAAATAAAACAGGAAACCAAAGACAGAAAAAGACAAGAAAAAAAAACAATACAGACAGATCGTGACATAGACTTCTTGCACTATTTTTTATTTGGATTTTTGGATTTTATTATATACGTATGCATCGTTGGAGGAGGTCGGGTCAGAAGAATTCCATTGCCATTTCTACACTGTAGCTTATGTTCATATGACATTCAAACCTTTGAATCTTTGAATCTTGAATCATCCTCACCTGAAATGACGCTGGTCACGATGAGAGGAACCGCCACCAGCTGCAGCATCCTCATGAGGACGTCTCCTGGAAAGGCGATGTACAGTTTGTCCATGTCTGTCAGTTCCACGTAGTAATCCAATATATAGCCAAATACAATCCCTGTGGGAAAATAACACAATGACAACACACATGAAAACCAAACTTAAAAGTTTCTAAATCTTACATTATTTTCACCAAGATACAAGGGATGAAATTGTTTAATCATAACTGTGAGTTTAAGGTTTATTTATTTATTTGGTTTGTTATTCTTTTCTTGATTACCATTTACCTCTTTTATGTATCTGTTTATGTATTTGTTGTTTTTTTGTATTTCTTTGAGGGAAAACAAATATATACAGTATATGTTAATCATTAAATTTTAGGTTTTGGGAGAAGGGGTGGGATTAAATACGTGAAAACTTTTTCCCACCCCTTTTCGGATGTGTAATTAAGTAGATCATTTGTTTATATAATTTAGAATCAGTAATATGTTTGTATATCAATTTGACACAGCTTCATTTTGTATTGTATAATAATTCTCAATGTTTGTATTATCTAATGAAATCAAATCAAAAACCAAAAACTTCTAAACTAAACACTTATCGACTGTAGCTGAAAAACGAAAAATAGAACATGACTCAAACCGGACATCACATCTCAACGACCCGTATGATACAATCCATTAAATATTTATTATGGACATAATCTCTTTTTCCATGAGGCTGCAGGAAAATCAATTTGAGGAAACGTGGACAAAAGTAAACAATACATATTCCAGGGATGACCATCCTTTGTTTAATTGAGCTCCCGTACACTACCAGGAGTGTAAGCGCAAATTTCACAATACAGGCAGCAACACATTTGCAGAGCTCACACTCAGATTTGACCCAGTTTGCAGTGAGGAGCATGAAAAGCTCTTTACAAATCTTTAAAAGTAGAAGTGCTACAAACCGTTTGAGATGCATGCAAACATATATGTGCAAGATAACAATAACTTCTACTCTTATAATAAGTTATACTGCACATCCCAAAGAAGAAAATGTGTTTGGTCTAGAAAAAGTGTAATTGTAAAAATAAAAGATCAACATCAGTAGTAATATTCATACTGTTTCAATCACATTAGTATGCATACAAAGTGACAGGTGGTGTGACAGGTCACACCTCTCCCTACTTATGCTAATGACCCCATTTGATATGCTAATGGTCGTTGATATGCTAATGGACCTTTGTTCGAGGTGTGATCACATGTAGGCGTGATATCACAGGTAGGTGTGATATCCTTTGATGGGTGAGGTGTTATCACACGTAGGTGTGATATGCCCCCCTGTAGTAGAGCCTTTGTTGTCTAATCTAATTACCCTTTGATGTCTGTCCTTTGATGTGAGGTGTTATAACAAGCCTTTGATGTCAATCTAAGTGTTAATTAAGGCAGTCTCTTTGAAGTTGTGTGTGAGACTGTCTCGCACCCCATCCCCTCGCACCCCGTCCCCCTCTCGCCCCTTCCTGTCAGCCCTTCCTGTCACACATCCCCCCCCCCTTCCTTTTGCTGTGATGCCAGAAGATAGTGGGGGGTGGAGTTAGGTAAAAAAGAAATCTGTTCAAACTAGATAAAAAGCCAGTCATTTCCACTCACCAAGTCATCTAAACTTTCAAAAAGAAAATGGCTAAGAGACGCATCAATATGGGTTTAATCATCGAGACGCCTGTGACAACTTACCACCATCCGTCTGGAGCGCCAGTCAAGAAATGGATGCAGAAGCTGTGCCGGGTTCAG